GAGAACTATTAGATAGTTAATTTGATACTAATATAAAATTATTTTTTCAAAACTTTATGTTATCCTCAAACTTATATTTCATTTAAAAATAAAAACATTATCGCTTACTAAAAACCATATAAAATCGTATTATATCGACAGAGACAAAGAATAAAAACTAAACATTAAAATCGAGATTTATCTTGCTGGTTGCTGCATTGTGCGAGTACCTTTCTAGTAATATACAATGGAAAAAATTCATCAAACACAACAAACTTTCCAATTCTGTTAAGTATTTGAATTTTTTTTTTAACAAAATAAATTCATCATCGAATAAATATAAACCGCTAATATGGTAAAAATCTTTGAAAAAGTCCGAAAACCTGACGTATTTTAAATGTTTTGAGTGATTGAGTTTCTGAACTTTTTTTGAACCAGTAAATCCTTAAACTTTCTTTGAACAAATAAATCTTTGAACTTTAAAATTGAAATGAATATACAAATTCTCACAAATACGATGAACCAATTAAACAAAAGAAATATATCATTTCCATTAGTAGTCCTGTAACATACAAAAGCTATGCCAAAATATAAATAGACGCATACACTAAATACGCTTATCCCCTTAAAGAAATATACCAAAAAAACTGTTGTTATCCTGTTTACAAAATTACTAAAAAAATATGTACATCTTACTAACAAAAATTGTGTCCTTTTGCAATTACAAAGTAATTCCTAATCTAAGTTAGGGGTCGTTTACTCAACGTTACCCGGTAAGCGCCTTACCGGTAAGAGTAAACAATTTCATTTAACTTATCATGTAAAATTTTAGTATATATTAAAACGCCATCATATGGAACATTTTAATCAAGTAAGCGCTTACCCAATAAAGAGTGTTTTACTCACACTTATTGGGTAAGACTCTCGATCTTTATTATCATTCTTACCGGATAAGATTTTTAATTCTTGTCATGTTCATTCGATAAGGTAAAGAATTGATAATTACCTGCCAGATAAATGTTTAATATAAAGAGCCCCTTAACAGCCTTATCTAGTGAAGACCGACATCCACCTTATGATTAGACATTACCTTGTAATTGTAAAAGACATAGCTTTTGTAAATTCCTTTGTTAGGAGGACGTAGATAACAAGATAACAATTTTTGTATCATCTTTTTACGTTTTTGGCATAAGTTTTATATGTTTCGAAGTTACCAATGGAAACAGTATTTTTATTGGTTTACTGTACTTTGTTGTTGATGAAGTAAATTGTATATTCTTTTCGTTTTGTAAGTTGAGAAATTTATGTCCAAAAAAATTCAGCCATTGATTTGTTAAAAAAAATTAGAATTTTATCGTTCAAAATATAAAAATATAATATGTTTTTTTTATTTTATAAGATTCTATCATATTAACCAGTTTGATAAATCATAAAAATGTATTCAATCTGAAAGATTTATTTATTATAAAAAAAGTTGTTGGATTGTGCTTGCATCTCCCTATACAAAACTACAAAATTTCACATAAGTGATTACAAATGTGGCCATCTTTACCTTTTATGGACTGAATCAATAATTTTAAAAAGATGGTGAAATTTAAATTTAGAACCCAAAAAAATTCAAAATATGCTTGTTAATGTTATTTAAGTGCCCCTAGGTATTATAATTATTCAAATACAAGTGAAAACATTATTTGTCTAAATAAATATGGTAAACGTTTATCGGCAAGAGTTATCATTTTATTTATCTTATCGTGTAACATTATCGGCTATCAATGAATTGTTGATAAACATTTTTAACCCGGTAAGCACTTACCGGGTAAGAGTCTCATTCCTCACTTACCGAATAAGATTCTTGATCATCTTATTCTACACAATAAGAGCAAAATATATGTTGGTGAGATAAGGATAAACAGGTGTAACTTATTACAGGTTGTTGAAAAGTTTCATATCTTAAATTCTCTCTCTCTCTCTTCCACGGGTTGATGCCGATGACAAAACAAACAAATATCAAAATAGATAAAATACTTTAACCTTTCCGACATTATTTTCCTTCTACCCAGAATCCCTCTCGTTACATCAATGCAACGTCAATTCGTCCTGATTATCGACACCCCTTTTTCATGCTTGGTATCCAGAACTCTTTGTTCTTGATTTGTGTGTCTTATAAGTCTATGTTGCGTGACCTGATCATATCATCATTTACCCGTGTGCTATTTACAAGGTAACCGCACACTAACATAAATATCGTTGAATGAATGTTATCATTGCATACGAATCAATTCATCTTCCCGACATTGCCTAATGCCGATTTCCAACTTTTCGTGTCTTGAAGAAGGCAATACATCACAACATTGTCGTCTAGGCGCCTGCAACTGTTTCACAAATAAATCGAAAATAAGTATAGGGACTGTTTTTGATATTATTCACTCTTTTGGGGCAAATAATAAAACTTCTCAAATATTGAAAAAATAACCCACTTTTTGGATTTTGTTTCAAAATGGTCAAGAGCACTCAAATTTCTCTCTCGAAAGAGTTTAGGAAAACTGAGTTATAACTGTAAAAAGTAAAGCAAGCTCACGTTACCTGCTTCTGGTCGAGATTTAATTTCTGAGAACGCACTTTGATCATTTCAATTCGTCTGGGAGATCCGAGATTGGATGTGCAATTATCTTGTGCCATTAACTTATAAATGCTTATGGTATGGTCTCCCTCAGAGATCGTCTCATTCATATGAAACACAACGGGTCTTCGACAAGGATCTTTATTGTGTTCCCTCATGTCGAAACTAAATAACGTGTTCAACAAGTTCCCTTTTTTCCACGGTCGGAATGTTGCAGGGACACGAAGCACATCGGGCAATAGCACATGGTTTCCAAAGACTTCCACTGCATAGCCCCATGAGACTGAAATCGTCCATGAAAACCAACGGTCGTAGCAAACTGCCTGTTGTAAGATCCTATGAGGATCTAACTCCGCAGCTTTGTATAAATGGCGCATAGCGTCTCTATTTGTCATCTTCGGAAAAATTGGGTCCATGTAATCAGTATGGTGAAGAGATACCAATGGTGTCATCGGATGCGCTGCCAATACTCCAAACGGGTTTCCGGTCATATCCATCTAGTAAAGTTTTAACAACCACAAAGAAGGTTATTACAAAACACATAAAAAAACCAAAATCTAAAAAATGAAAGAAATAATGAAACTTAAACCAATAGACTTTTCGTTGTTTTTGTCATAAAAATGGAATCTTGTTTGCCGAATGAAAGCTTAAAACCAGTATTGAAACATTGGGATAGTTTCAAGATTCATAAAACCCCGATCGAGAGATCTTTCAACATCTTCAAACAAAAACCATTGCTTTTTATGATTACGAATCACTAGACACGACCGTTTCGGCTCAAATCTAAAACATACTCCAGGGACTAAGTATACAATTTCACAAACTTAGAGGGTGAAAGTGTAGATTAAAAACTCTTTAGGGATCAAAACAGAACTTACGCAAACAACGAAGAACAGTTACAGAGCTGGAGAAGATATGAATGGCGATTGGTGAAATTTACCTGATGAAAACCTGCTTCTCTGGTAATCCCAATTCCAAGTTCAGCCAAACACGATGAAATCCTTCCATCGCTTCCGTACAAATGCGGGTATCTCTCCAAGCACGAATCCAACACCTTCGCCAACGTTTTCGCCAATGGATAACTGATTGCAAATCCAGCTCCGCCAAACGCCATTGAAAACGAGAAGAATCTGTTCTGTATGAAACTCTCTGAGTTTGACCCGATGAAATACATCAGATCATGATCGTATTTCGATAGCGTCTTCACCAGATTTTCCGGGAAGAACACCGTATCATCGTCCCCAAACACAAACCATCTGATGATTCATATTAATCAGTCAGTAATCAAATAAGGTGTTTTTCAATTTCATATAGTGGTTTGATTTGATGTTTGTTTAATTACCTGACGTTTGAATGGTTTAATGCGACCGTCTCCGACACGACGCGGGCGACACGGATGGCTGACCGGAGACCACCGCGCCATGTATAACGGAACCTGGAGGTGTCATCGGAGATACAAACCGGAGGGAGAAGGGAGACGTCGGAAGAGACGGTGTTATTCTCCAAGGGAACATCGAGAAAAGCACAACCTCGCATTTTATCAGGCTTCCACCACATCTTAACGTATTCTTTCCTTTTGGGCCATGATTTCGCATTGGATGCGATCCCAAAAACGATGTGATCGAGGGAAGTAGGAGATGAAAACCGATCAGACAGCAACAAGATTCTGGTGTTGGGCAGAATCGAAAACGAAGAAAACAAGAGATATAGTATCAAACCAAGAGATGAGAAGATAAAAATGAGGTTTATGAGTCGAGTATTGAGATGGGTTTTGAAGAACAAGTGAGAGATCTTCATGGTGAAGTGGGTTTCGAGATGTGTGAAAATGGTGGGATTTATAAAAAGATGGAATTAAAGAGGGGGTGTTTGATAAAATGGTTAGTAGAAGTGGATTTGAAGGATTGGAAGGAAAATGGGGAAAAGTTAGGCAACCAAAGAGTGATTTTAATGGGGGAATTTAGGACAGGTGTTGAAGTTGATGAGCAAGAAAAGTCAACATCAATGGCGACCGTTGACTATGATCAACAAACAAAGAAAAATCTTAAATTCATAATTAATTATAATTATTGTATTTAATTTTAATTAAAGATATTCAGTAATTAATTCATTGATATGAAACATACACTTTTGTTAAACTTTTATGATTCCTCTTTTAAGGTAAATGTTATTATTTAATATATTATTTTGACCAATTAAATACCTAAAATGTCTATTAATATTATAAAAGAAGAAAAATCAACGATTACCAGTTAATTTAAGGTTACTGTGAAAATTAAGAGCCAATAATTCAATATCAACATAATTTTTAAGTCTTGAATAAAAGCATTATGGTTGTTTATTTACCTCTTAATAGTTACATAAAGAGGCACATCTGAATCGTTAAAAGGTGAATCTTGTTTGGTAAAAAAAAGTATGTCGCTTAATGGTTCTAAAACTTTTTGAATGATTTTGTATCATGTATCTCCCTTAATCATTTAGTGCTCTAATTTCATTATAAACAATAACTAGATGATTATATTCCATTTTGCACTATATCATGAGAGTCTATTAATCATTTTGACCACTTAATCATTCTGCACCAAACCATTTAACAACCGTTAAACGGCCTCTTAAACAATTTATAATCAAATCATAGCTTGACACCTACAACCTCATTAGTGGACGAGGTTTTTGATTCATCACCCTATGTATCTTAACCATACAAAATCAACTTATTTAAAAGTAAACTGTCGTAAAGAGATTTAATATTTATTTTGTGAATATATTTTCAAAGTTTAAAAAATGTCTATTTTAATACCTCATGAAAAATGATGCAAAATAAGCTTGATATGTTTTTCTAAGTAAATTCTCTAAAATAGATATTTTTTTAACTATAACAATTTAATTCTATATATATATATATATATATATATATATATACACATATTAAAAGGGTACTCGCGTAATACAGCGAAATACATCTTGTTTTTAATGTTTCATTTTATTTTGTCTCCGTTAATGTTATACTACGATTTTATGTGGAACTAAGAAAACGATAATGATTTTATTTTTTTAATAAAATATAAAATGTATTATAAAATTTTGAAAAAAAATGTATTGTTTTTAGTATCAAATTAAATATTTAAAAGTTTTTTTTTTTTTTGTATAATTTATTCAATTCAATTTTTTATTATAATTTAATTTAGATTTAAAATAAAGTTATTTTTTAATAATATAATTATTTTATAAAGATGGTAATTAGTATTTTGTTAGAGTTTACTGATTATCCTAAATATATTTTAGATTTTTATATTTAAAATATGATATTTATCCGGTATTTGATTATGTTTATCTGCAGTTAGTTACACAAGTTCAAACATGGAGCTTTAATAAGTTGTACAAACGCAAAATTTACTTGTAATCTTGAATTTTTGAATTTTAAGTAATATGCATCAATAAACAATATTTAATGCATAAAAAATGGTTTTTAAAAGTTTTTGTCAAATGTTTTATAATATAGTGTATATAGACACATACATATATATCTTTTTAAAATATGTTTAATAAATAAGAATTAAATAAAAATACATTCTTCCTTAATTTAAAAGATTACAGCATTTTTAGAACATAAAATAGAGAAAATTGATATTTATTCTCTATTTTATTCCAACAGATTCTCTATATTATTATTATCTAGAGCAGAGGAAACTCAAAATTTAGAAAATTTCCTAAAATAGGATATGAAAAAAGAATAGTTTTTTTTTTAATATTTCGTAGCAATTAGATTGAATTATTATTATTTTATATAAAGTTTTTTTTTCTAAAAGTATATCGGGAATATAAAATATAAATATTTTAATAATATAACTAATGTCGAAATTTCTAAAATACAACATCGGTTGAATTAAAAATATCTTTTTTAATCTATATTTTAAAAAAATGTCTATTTTGGTAACTAATATAGACAGACGACGTGCTTTTTGAAAGCAGATTCTCTAAATAATCATTTTTTAAACTATGAATCTTTTGAAAATATGTTTTATAAAAGTACATTCTTCCTCGTTTTATAAGATAACGTCGTCTTCAACATTATTCTGAACGAAAACAATACAAAACTTCAATTTTCATAATATTCTAAAAGTGGGTGTGAAGGGAAAATGATTTTTTTAACTTTTTTCCAAATATGAAATTGAATGATTATTATTTTATATAAAGTTTTTTTTAAATATATGAGATGATAAAATTATAAAATATTTTAATAATACAATTAATGTGGAAATCTTAAAATTATAAAATCTACTGGAATATAATGTAATTTGTTTATGTAACCTTTTTTTTTTTTTTGTAAATAATATGTTTGAGACGTTATTATAACTCAGTCTATGAATGAAAATAGGTCAAAGATTAGGGACTTGGGTTCCATAGTCCGTTGATCCTTATTTTTATGAGTCAAATTTCTATCTTTACTTAGAACAGCTTAAATTAAACTTGATTTTAATGTAAATATGCTCACATGTTTATTCTTTTTGAGGGTATAGAAGGGAGCAAATATTGTAAAGTAAAAGTTACATTATAAAATTAAATATAAAAAAAAGGAAAGAAACTTTACAAGAAAAGTAGAAGAGATAATGTGAATTAGGAGGATCCTACATTTTACACATACTAAATTAAAATAAACCTAAGTCTAGATCTATAAATATTCCACATTAGACTATACTTTTTATGCAAGTTTTTAGTCAAATAAATGTTATCAATAAACATTCATTTTTGTAATAAAGTGAACTTTTGGTATCCTCTAAAAAGTTGTTATATGTTTGTTTTCAATAAATTACACATATATATAGAGAGAGTTTGTTTCAAATGCAACCCATCACATTGTGTAACTAATTCAACCTAATAAATTGAAATATTTATGAAAATAATGAAAATTCATTTATTATGATTTGAATATTTATAAAAGATGAATAAAATTCATTAATTATGATCAATATTTTATATTATGAAACAATCAAAATTTTCTATGAAATTACATATTCATCAAATTAAATGGACGGTTGAGATTAAGTTGTATTGGTTGTACAAATGTAATAGGTTGTATAATAACTCACCTCTATATATATGTGTGTGTATATATATATATATAGACTTGGGATCATGTGAGACCAAGGATTTTTCGTGAGACCCATAAGACCAATTCTCAACCTTTGGATTAGATTTGCAATCTCAACATTCATAATCACAAAATTGTCATGAGACTTTTCAATAATCACAAAATTGTTACCGTACAACTTTAGACCATTAGATCATTAGCTTATAAAGTTGATCAATGAACATAAATTGGTCTCACGGGTCTCACGAAAAACTCTTGATCTCACGTGAACCCAACCCTATATATATATATATATATATATRTGTGTGTGTGTGTGTGTGTGTGTGTGTGTGTGTGTGTTTGAATGATTTTGGATTATCTTAAAAGTGATATTATAAATGGTTGTTTGTTTACCTCTTAATAGTTCTATTAAGAAACAACGTCTGAATTATTAAGAGATGAATCTTGTTTGATAAAACAAAAATCCGCCTCTTAATGGTTTTAAAACTCTCTGAATGATTTTGTATCATAGGCCTCCCATAACCATTTAGTGCTCTAACTTTATAGTAAACAATAACCAAACAACTATATTTCATTTTATACTATATCATGAGAGTCTCTTAATCATTTCGACCACTTAATTATTATGTACAAAATCATTCATCAACTACCAAATAGCCCCTAAGTTTTTCTCAAATAAAATAAAATTTTAAGATCCAGAAATAATTTTGAAAACAATTAATTATTCTTAACTAAATAAAATAAATGTTTTTATAATGTTCAAAAATTAATTAACATGGAGTTTATTATTGTCTGAAAGAAGTAATATGTTAGGATATCTCAAAAGGAAGAATATTATTTTGCTAAAATAAACCATGGAAAATGAATTTTACATCTTTATATATATATAGAGAGAGAAGTGAGTTATAATGCAACTTTTTACATTTGTACAACAAATACAACTCAATTCCAACCGTCCATTTAATTTGATGAATATGTGATTTCATAAAAGTTTAGATTGTTTTCTAATATAAGTAATGATCATAATTAATGAACCCTAGTCATCTTCCATAAATATTCAAATCATTATATATGAAATTTCATCATCCATAAATATCTCAATTGATTGGTTTACATTGGTTGTACAAATGTGATAGGTTGCATTTGAAATATCTCAATATATATATATATATATATATATATATTGAAATAAGTATTTTCCAAATTTAAGAATCCCAATGAATTTTAAGAGTGGCTTGGAGATCCAGTCCATGTTCGATCCTCAAGAATACGTCAAAGATCTTACCATTTTCAAAGGAACTAGAGTTCCATCTCTTTTCCTTTCTTACTAATTTGTAAATATTCAGAATTATATTTTTAATAAACGTAGTAACTTACTTTGAAAAAAAGAGAGTTTATTAAATATAAAATTGGAATAAAATAATGGGTAAAGTAGGAGTAATGCTTAGGTTGCCTCTTGCTCAAGCCAATGTCACCCAATCACTTCACTTTTTTTAAGTCACCACACAATAACTAGTGGAGAGTAAAAATTGGACATTTAAGTGAAATGCTAACATCTTCGACACATATATTTGATCGGGGGTTGGCACTTTTTAAAAAATCACATTCAATTTCAACCACTTTTTTTTTATTTTTATAAAATAAATATCTTATTGTTTTTTTATTAAATCACTTTTTTAATGGATATGGTTGTCACTCACTGTCAAGT